TGTTGAGTAATTTAACATAAAATTGTTTGATAGTGTTAATTTGGAAAGCCAAAACTCTAGCGGGTCCACCAGACCCATGAACACTGGCTGAGTAACAAAAATACGAACACCACACAAGGGTTAAACTGAAAACTGTGGTTATTAATTCTGAATTATTCTTAGACACTGAATTATTCTTAGGTTATACAAGTAATTAGATTTCTTCTGAAGGTACTATTTTATTGTGTATCCAGTTGAATATGTTCTTTAAATATGACTAATAATGTGTATTAAACGCACAGATGATCACTAAACCACTAATTATTTCCACAGTAATTTGTTTGCACAACAAAACCTTTTATTTTGGAGATCTGTGACGTAAATGTGCCTGTCTCTAAAGGGCTTTGGACCAACTTCTGTACTATCGGTTATAAATAAAATAAATGTGACATTCAACAGAAAAGGTGTTTTTATTTTTTATTTTCCCCCAAAAAATTTAATACAATTCAGTGGGCTCAATACTGAACTTAGAGGATAGGGCAAAAAAGTATCAATCTAATGCGCTAGTGTTGATCTGATACCAATACAAGCTTTGGTATCGCTATTTTGATCAATCTGCCCACCTCTACCATAAATGGTACATGGACTGGTTCTTATATAGCACTTTTCTACTCTTCTGAGCACTCAAAGCGCTTTACACAACTTGTGCATTCACCCATTCGCACAAGCACATTGTTCTAAGTGCTTTCTAAGTAACTTTCACACACATTCACACTCCGATGGATGCATCGGAGAGCAATTTGGGGTTAATATCTTGCCCAAGGATATTTGGCATGCAGACTAGGGGAAGCCAGGAATCGAACCACCAACCTTCCGATCAGTAGATGACTTTACCGCCTGAGCGGTATGTCTGTATGTCAAAATTGGGAAGAAAAAATGTTATGGCAAAGATTAGTTGCTGCCGTCATAAATTCTGAGTATCCATGGTTAACGGCATCTAAATAGTAAAGGCAAATTTAGGAAACACCACTCATCAATGTTTGTTTATCTTTCATGAAAAAAAGGCTTTTTTGTTTTGTTTTTCTGTCTCATTAGTTTCCCAACATGACATCACCAGTGCTTACATTTCATATTACATCTTATTATGATGAATAAAACATTAAATATTTATGACTTCTCACATTAAAAAAAACTACAATCACTTAGTTTGGAAATGAATTAATAATTTTAAAGTGAGGACAGAAAGAGCGACCTCCTCTGGATGAAACAGGCACTTCTGCAGACTTCGCTTAATACGTTACATTGTTGCTATTGGAAACGGACTCCACACAAACTGAGAAAACACCGGAAATCCCTCTGAACCTCTGTTATAGTTCATTCTCTGAACAGAAAGAAGTCCAAAGAAGAAATAAGTGTGGGATATTCAGGCTTTGGATTTAAAATGAGCTCTCCTTTGTCGATGCTAAAGAAAACCAAACGCACTCCTCTGCAGGGCGCTCACAAAGACCAAGGGTAGGTGATTAACTCCACACAGGTAGAAACTGGACTGTAGTTTTATTGTGCAGAATAAACGTATCAATCGTGTCGCCACACTTAATTTTCTTCGACCTGCAGGAGCAAATCAAAAGTTCCTTTCAGGAGGAATCTGCTGAAAGGTAACGATGCACTCACAGATCACCAGCAGCGCTGCAAATTCAGTAAAGTACAAGGACAGAATAAATAAATACATCCCAGCTAGAACTAGAACTACTTCCCTTCTAAACCCTTCAAATTAAAGCTGAAAGTCTGCACTTTAGTCACACTGTGATTGTTTGATTTAAAGTGTGTGGAGATCTAACAGTATTCATGTGTCCACAACATAAATAACTTAAACTGTGATGAGCAAAATGCAGCAAATCCTCACATTTGACGAATAATAACAATTATATCTTACTGGAGAAACTGATCATAAGTTTATCAGGTAACTTTTCCAGTTGAAAAAATAGCAAAACATCTTTTATAACCATGATACTTTTTGTTTTTAGAATTTGAGGCTGAATTGGCCGATGAGTCTTCTGATTACGCTCACACTACAACCAACGAAGCCTCCACCTCAAATACGGGAGCTCCATTAAAGAAAGGTAGGCATTAACACAATGCTTCATATTCCAGTGTTAATATATCTTCTTTTATTTATCACATACAAAATGATTATACGTTTTATTTTTCTAATACTTAACTGCTGGTTTCCAGGGTGTCCTCCGACCAACTTTGACCTCATGTCTGCCATGATGCAGCGAGTGACCCTCCTGGAGAAAACAGTGAGGAGCCAGGCAAAGGAGATAGAGCGCAAAGTGAGCATGCAACCCCTTCAACGAATACCAAAACTGCCAGCCATCCTTTAAACATATTTAAACCTCACTTTATGGTTTCATCATTCCTCCCAAGGATAAAGAGATTTCAGATTTAGAGGAGAAGCTGAGGGTTCAGGAGAAGTCAGGTAATTACCTACAGCAGGCACAGACTTGAGTTCGATTTATGTTAAGTCGATCACACAATCCTAAATCCATGATTGTGTGGATTTAGGAAGCACGCATGACCCGAGGAGCAGAGATGATCTCGAAAGCCGGTGCCAACAACTGCAAAATCAAGTGCATGAGATGGAGGTGAGTAAGGTGTGTTCATAAAGTATGAGATCGTGATTTTATCAGTGTGGAGGTTTCACTGAGCTGCTGTCGTTGTTGCAGGACTTTCTGAATGATTATGGTTTGATCTGGGTGGGAGATACAGACTCTGGTGATCCTGCAGAGCGAGGTAGATCCACCAGTCCTGCAGACCTGCAATCCCTCCGTGTCTTTTGTATATTAAAGCTGTGCTGTTTTTGTTTTGTTTTGTTGTCTTCTGCAGAGACTTCTGGTGGCAGAGGCTTCCACATAAACTTTGATCTCGTGCTGCAGAGGATCAGAGAACTGAACGTCTTCCTAGGGGAAGGAGAGTCTTTTGTGCAAATGACAGCGACAGGAGCACAGCTGGCAAAAAAGGATCCCATTCCACTGAGGCTCTACAGGAATGGCATTGTAATGTTTGATGGTCCTTTCCGCTCATATCAGGAGCACAGCACGCAGGTTAGCTACACTAAAAAAAGGAAAATCAAAGTCTATATTAAACTGGAATCTTTCCTTGGTTAAAAGTAAACTCTTGGTCCCTGCAGCAGTGCATGCAAGATCTAATGGATGGCTATTTTCCATCTGAGCTTCAAGAAAGATTTCCGGATGGTGTACCTTTTGAGGTGAGTCTCAGTTTCTTCTTCTTATTTTGTTTTTGGGAACAATCGACTGTCTTCACAAAAATTCTCTTTGCAGCTTCATGACAGGCGATACGAGGAATTCAACTCTAGGCTCCCGTGGGAAACGTTTCCTGGTGAAGGACAGGCTGTTTGTGGGGACAAAGATGAATCAGCAAGCTCGCTGAGTTCTCACTTCCCCGGTCTGTTCTGCAAACGTCACCCTGATCAAAGCCGCGGTGCAGATCCTCAGAGACTTTGCTGTCATTCTCATGTTTTCTTCTGATTCAAAGGCAAGAAGCTGACCACAGATCAGTTCCTGAACAAGTTGCCGAAGTTGGTGGTGAAGGCCGGCCGAGTGATTGATATCAGGAACTCGCTGAGGGCAAAGCTGCAGGTGAGTCGTAGAGAAGCAGCAATTATCTGTTTGTACAAATATACAGATGAGGACAAAATTACCAGCCACCCTACAAAGTTTAAAAGCTTCGTCAACATTTTTCCGAGTGCTTTTTTAAACAGACCAAGGAATTTTTAACATAACATTTGTAAACATTGTAGTTTTCTTTATAAAGCATCAACTATTATTACCATTTCAGAAAAAAGCAAAAATTACCAGGATCAGTATTATTAGTTCCCTGAAAAACCATAGCAGGCACTACTGCTGTGCAATGATGAGCTTTAACGTTGTAATGCTCGAAGCTAAGAAGTTGAAACTGAGAGTTAGCTTCCAATTTTCTCACATTATAAAAACTTCAAGCTGCCACCTGAGAAAGCATGCTACCAAAAACAAAAGAAATCCGTTCAGACTTACTCGAGTCGTGAATTATAGTCTCAAAGAAGATAATCACTAGAATCCAGCACAGGAATGGACTGCAAAGCTGCAGAACAAGAAAAACTCCACTTCTGCAGAACAGATAACTTCATGCCAAACTTCACTGAAGGACAACCTGGAGAAAGATTTTAGATACTAGTAGCACATGCTTTGATCAGATGAGACAAAACTAGAGCTCTTTGGCCAAAGAGATGCTTTTTATGTTTGGAGAAAGAAGTGAGAGACATATAAAGCAAAGAACAACGTCCCCACATTGAAACACAGTGGTGGCAGTATTATGTTGTGTCTGGAACTGGGAATCTCTTCAAGGTGGAAGAAATCAAAATAAAAGGATATGTGAAGATTTGGGAGCAAAATCTCAAGCAGTCACCAGTAAACCTGTGTCTGGGTTGTTGCTTTGTCTTTAAGCACGACAGTGCCCCAAAACATAGTCACCCCCGGTGAAGACCAGGCTCCAGAAGGCCAAAATCAACATTAATTGTCATTAGTGTCATTAAAGGCCTGCACAAATCTCTGATTTCAGTTCCACTGTTTCTCTGTTTAGCAACACTTGGGAAAATCTTTATAGAGGGCCTAATGGTTAAGTCCTCATGTATATATAAGACAGCACTGAAAATCAGTGTGCTTCTACCAGGGTACATCTGATGTGGACAGCAGCAGTTCAGTGATACTGATAGATACACCGTCACTGCAAGCGAGTACTGAGAGGTAAACCAAATGTTCTCTTTTATTTTTTATGTGTATAGCATAAATATTTGTCTAATCTGCCAGTTAACAGACTTACCAGAGGGTGTCAGTCATCACAAACTCATGCTGTGCAAATAAGCATGGCTTAAAAACATTTGCCATACCAAATGAATACCACATGAAAAAAATGACAAGTACAAAGTGGGTTAAAGGAATTTAAGAACACCACACTTGATGTAAGACCTGCTTAAATCCCGATTTGGCCACTGATCGTCCAGATTGTAGAGATTACTGTATGTGCTGATCTGAAAATGAGGGCAGCCATCAGCTGGTGACCGTGTTTGTGATGCAACGCTCCAGTTTTCACCCACATTTTTCTAACAACCATAATGCATCATGGCTGCCACCAGACTGCAGGCTTTCAGCGCCTACCAGCCTGCCTGTAATGTCATCACTCTCAAGGTGAAGTCAGAAGACGGGAGTCACACTTACATAGTGAAAATGTCCCCGTCGGAAACAGTCGGTGACCTGCGGAGGTTCCTGGACAAACACAGGTGAGGACACATCTCAATGCACTGACCGCACCGCTGCTTTTACAATCACGTGACCCAGCCTGCTCTTTGTTTGTCGCTGCACTACAGAAGGGGCGGTGTGCCCAGTTATGACATCATCAGCGCATACCCACAGTGCAACTATGATGATGATGGTCAGACGCTCCAGTCGCGTGGAATCGTGACAAACGCCACTCTACTGCTGCGACAGAGGAAACCCGATCCTTCACTGGCCGACGTCCACAAAGCTGTTAAAGATTAAAGAATTACTTTTATCTTGTTACATCAGTGCTGTTCACAGCAGAGCGGAGCATGAGCAGAAGTAAAGGTGTTATTAATGTTATTAATGACGACTGTGTTCTGTGACAGTGAGGCCAAAAGCATTCACAAACCCATGACACTGAAATAAAATCCCAATGAGCCATTATTCCTTTTGTTTCTTATACCTTTGCTCTTATCTTAACAGGGACACAGATCATTAACACCAATATCTAATCAGATAATCACATGGCAGCAATTCAGTGCACGTAGACATGCTCAAGCTGACCTGCTAAAGTTCAAACAGATCATCAGAACGGTTAGTGCCAGATGGGCTGGTCTGCTGGGATTTTCCACACAACCATCTCTAAAGTTCAGAGACAACGTTCAGTGAGCAGCAGTTCTCTGGGTGAAATAGGAAAAATAGAATGACTGCTTAGAGCTTATGGGAAAGGAGCAGTAACTTGATACAACCACAATATGCAGAAGAGCATCTCTTAACACACAACACACAGAACCTTTAAGCAGGTGGGCTACAGCAGGTGAGGACCACACCGGCTGCTGCCAGCTGAGACCAGGACGCTGAAGTTACGATTAAGACTGGAAGAATGTCGCATGGTCTGATGAGTCTCTGTTTCTGCTGCAATACTTGGATGATACGTTCATAATTCTGAGTAAACATAAAAGTAAGGTTCAGGCTGCTGGTGGTAGGACATAATCTCCTAATTTGTGTCTTTTAAAGGACAATCTCTTCCCTGGACTCATTATGAATGTGCAGCTGACACATCTGCAGGAACAGTCTGGTCTTTTCATCCTTTCTCTGCAAAGTTAAACAAATAAAAGCAATCTGAGACCAATTAAAACAAAACCAAGTGTCGAAAATCTTTATTTCTAAAATATGCAAATACAAACAAGGACAAAAGTATGAAAATATAAACATATTTTTTCCCTTTTGCAAAACATTTGAGATGTTAAGGCATGCGGAGCCCGACTTTTCAAAGAGAAATCTTGTGCTACTCAAGTTTAAAGGTCCCATGAAATGAAAAATGGCTTGTGTGTCCCTGGGTGGTGTTCAGAATAATAAAAGTCATTGTTGCATATTTTTATGTTAAAATCCCTTTCTCTTCCCATAAAGTGTCATGCTTTTTCGTTTTTGTTTTCCCCTTTTAAATGGCTTATCTCACCGTCAGGACAAATACAAAAACTCCATTCACTTCGATGTGACCCGTGATTATGGGGTGATCCAGCCAACCCCTCCACAGTCACCTCCACAGTCAAAACGCCTGAAGGAACATCCCATCTCATCACACCTCAAACCACAAAGAAATAATACAATCTAACAGACACTTCATGGGACCTTTGCACACTGTGGATGCTTGCTGAGACACGTTAGCACATTATTACAGCAACAACACGTTAGGAAGACCCAGAAAACTTTCACACCGAGTTTTCAATGCAAACAAAAAAACCCTAAAATAACAATAAATAATACTGAAGATTAATACTGTTTCTCATTCATACATTTACTCAAACAGTTCACCGCTCTGCTTGAATGCGAGTCTGCTGTCATCGACATGAAATCTACGCTATATCTACGCTCAGACTTTCACCGTGTTTTAATCATCTACCAGGGCCAACTCGAGCTTTGCAACACGGTTTTTTTTTCCTACTACATTCAGTGTCAGAGGGAATGTATTGACTGTCCTACTGGTTGACACACTGAGTGAACGGTTATACTGGAAAGAGTCAGCTGCAATCAGCCCTTTGTGGTTGGTCTGGGATGAAATTAGCATTGCAGTTGCAAACGCGACAGAAAGGCACATGTTGGTAATTCATTCAGGAGGAAGCCTGCAGCAGCGAGGAGTGCTCGCACACCTGCACGACTGCTTCGACCGGTGTTTCTTTGGTATACGGTAGGCCTGTTGGTGTGAGAAGCTGATTTGGTATTAAACCTCTTTTAGTTATTATGCCTCATACCTCACAGCAGAGTCCAGTATTACAGTGTTCACCATTTCAAATGGCGCATTAGTAACATTTCCTTGCAAAGTCATTAAAAAAAGGAAGAAAAAAAAAAGCAAAAGTAAAAAGCAAAGGTTAAATTTTTTCAGTTGATTGTCAACTACTTCTCAGATAATTCCCCTTTGGAGGGAAATTAAATTTTAAATAAGTTAATATTTGCAGGACAAAAAGTATAAGACTGTTTTGGTAACTGACAGCATCATGTCGTCATCATTATAAAAACAAAAAAAACCCACACGTGCGCACACAAACACACAGACACACAATGCTTAAGGATCAAGTATTAGAGGTAAGTTATATTCTGTTAGCCCTTGGACTGAAATAGATGAACTCAATGGGATGGGGGCGGGGAGGTGGGGGCTCTGAGCTACAGGCAGGCTTGAGACTCGACATGCAGTCAGTCGAGAAGTAGAAGCTAAACCATATGGGCTTTCCTTTGTCCTCGTTTCAAGGAAATTATAGTCCAGTCCTCTGACATTCAGGAACAAAGCGTGGAAGAAAAGCCTGTTAAGAGTCCTCCGAGATGAAGAGGTTCCCGCAAGTTTCCTCCATCGTGGCTGGTTGTCGAGGTTACTGAGTTATGCAGTTTTCTCCCATGTCCTGAGCGTAACGGTCCAGTATTACGTTACGCAGCTCCTCGACATCGCGCCGTAGCTGCTGGACTTCGACCAGCTTCTTCTGCAGCACCTCAGGATTCATCCAGTCCTCGCCGTGCTCCGCCACGGATGGGGGTGCTGGAAAAACAATGCATAATTGGTTCTCATTCGATTACATTTAATTTAAACATCAAATTCAACACTACAGTGAAAAAGATGAAGGTCAGAAATAAAAACTCGAGTAGTGCTTACAAGTGAGGCCAAGGAGCAGGGACAGGTTGGGGTCTTGTCCCTGGGCTCGCTGGGTTAGGATGCTGCACAGTGAGCGCAGGTCACTGAGGCAGGAAGCAATCTCAGTATGCAGTCTTTTTGTGAGATTAGCCCCAGCTGGCTGCAGGACAGAGGAAGCCTGGTTAGTGCACTTTTGCTCTGGATCACTCATCTGCTCCTGCAGCGTCAAATTCTGCTCCATTAGTTCCTGGTTCTGGGTCGACAGCTACAACACAATGATCGGCATCGGTGTTAGGAGCTGTCGAGCTTTATTGAGGACACTCAGAGGTCTGATTTCTAAATTAAACAGAAACTGAGAAAGTTGGTGCTTTTTTGGAGATGGTGGTTAATATAGCTCACCTCCTTCATGGCTGTGTGGAGCTCTAACATGTTCTGCTCTTTGGCCAGCACCTCCTCTCTGAGAGCCTGAGAGCTGCTTTCTTCCTGAGATATCTGCTCCTCCAAAGCCTGCAAAAGAAAAAAAAAAACAGATTTAAAAATGTTGCGCGCTACAGAAACAGCAAACACACACTCATTCAGATTCCCTATGAAGAGATAAACACCTGGATCTGTGATCCAAGCTGTTCCATCATCCTGTGTTGCTTCTCAATAACCTGCAAAGAGAAGAAATGAGCATTAAAACAACACCAACTTAAGCACCAATGAGGCGTTACCGACCAGCATGTGCTGGATATTTTCCATGTTATTGATCTAACTTGCACACATGAGCACAGCAAATTCAGTACACACTGCAGAGAACATGCTGTAAACCACATAATACAGTCATTTCCCAGAGAAATACTCACTTCTCTGTAAATCTAACTCATCTGAACATGAACTTGCTCTAAGCTCAGGAGTCATCTGAGGTCAATGCACAAAGTGGGTTCTTTCTGCATCTTTACTTTGGGATAGAAATTACTTTTTAATAAACCTACATACAAATAGTCCTTAGTTATTCTAGTTTATCCAGTGATATTTACACTCTGAATCCTGTCTTTGTGTTCTGCCCTGATCTGAAAAGGTGAGCCTTCTTTGCACATGTAAGACCACACCAAGCAGACCTTTTTGAGTCTCTGCTGCTCCTCTTTCAAACTGTTGTTCTCTCCTCTAAGCTTCTCAAAATCCAGAGAAGGGAGTCTGGCTCCATCCTCCAGGCCCTGCTGTACCCGCTGCTGCATACTGATGAAGACAAAAATAACGCAGAACACTCATTATGCACAGTTATTAGGTTTTCTTTTTACACTGAGAGCGAGGAGAAATAACATGCCTACAGAGAGGAGTACACATACTCAGTAATGGTGGTCAGCAGGTCCCTCTCCCTGCGTTTCTGCTCCTCCAGGTATGAGTCTTTCTCCTTCAGCTGCGAGTTTGTCGTCGCCAAACAGTCGTCCAGTTCTTTTACTTTCCCTTCTAGCTCTGCTACCTGATGTTCAGCTTCCAACAGCTTATTTAAAAAAAGCAAACAAACATGAGCAGGTTTAATGATTAACACATGTGCACCTGAGCAAACGAAAAGGAGTTAAAGTTTAGTGTCCTAACCTGTTTGTTCTGGTTCTGGTAGTCCTCCAAGGTGGGCAGGTCAGCGAGGTAGCGCTCAAGAGTCTCAATACGCTGCTGGTTCTCCCTCTTCAGTTCCGACTCCTTCTGACACTTTTTCTTCAGGTTGCTGATGTGCTTGTCTCGACTGCGGATCTGCAAACATAAACACACGTTAATTTGATAACATTACCCAAATGTGCTGCTCAATACTGATTACAGCCCTTCTCAATCATCTGATGATGAATAAAGGAAAATGACAAACCCAGCGTTACTTTTTAGTTTCAAAGAAGTTTGTTTAATGACAAGAGGAAGCGTGCTTCA